TATTTCAAAAACACGTAATCCCCCTAATTATGCTTTGTAAAAATGAACATATTTCCTTAGTACTTTCAATGTGCCAAGCACTATGCTAAATAATTTCCGTGGACCCTCTCCTACGACTCACAATTGCAAAGGAGGCACTGTGGTTGCTTCGTTTCACAGAGGAAGAACTTGAAGCACAGGGAGGTTAAGTGGCTTGCTCAGGGGCACAGTAAGTCAGACTATGGACTCAGATTGTTTAAAGCACATATATCATCACTAAGCTATACTGATTCCCTCTAGTCATATTTTTGTGAAACATCTCTAACCTACTCACGGTTTACAAATACAGGACCATCATTCCTAGGAAGTAATTCAGAATTTCCTAGCAGTCACGGAGTAAACAAATAAAGAGTAAAAATTGGAGGTTAAATTCCTGAGGCCTTTATCATGATTAAGACTACACTGGTTAACCTGTCTTCTCTCCCCCTTCTCTGCTCTTCCCTCTTTTTGCCCCAGCTACACTGCCTTCCTTGCAGCTCTCGGAACACTCCAGACGGCTCCTGCCTTAGGTCATGTGTGCTGAACATTCCTCTTCTCGCCCTCAGCATCAGCACGGCTCCTTCCATCACCTCCTCTCCTCAGAGGTCACCCTCCCCAAGAGGCCCACCATTTACCGTAATGCGACGCCGCCACCATCACTCACTCCCATGCTCCATCGCTCGTTCTCCTTTGCCCATGTGCTACAGGATGCACTCATTTAGTATGCTTTCATGTCTCTGTCTACCCTGAACACAAGCTCTGCAAAGGCAAGGAGTTGGGTTTATTTCATTCACTGGGGATCCCTAGCCCTTCGACAGTCTCTGCTATACAATATAGGCTCCACAACAAATACGACGTGTCAGACAAACAATGTAATGACAGGAGGGAGCTTAATGCGTGTAGCTGACAACCAGATGAACTCAGCTGAAAATTTAATGGTCAATTTACTTTCCAGCCATACCTCTTTAAATTTGATAATGAAATTATCTAGAGATATTTGTCCAAATACATGTGTCTAGAGAGAATTGGTTTTTTTAAATGAGCATTCCACATTTGTTGGCATATGTGTTTATTTTTTAACCAGAGAAGATGTATTAGAAATTTCTAAAAACAACAAAAACTGTAGAAACAAAAGATGCTTTTAACCTAGAAAAGAAATAAGCTAGGTCAGAACTGAAGTACTTCCATTGCCCAAGTAATGGCCTACCCCTCTGTAGAGTGACCCTACAAAACCTGAACAAATATTTACCTTTGACATTAGAGAAAGGAACTTCAGCAAATGACATTTCATAAGGAGTGAAATGAAAGAACTTCCTCTCTTTATTTATCCTGTATAATCCACTACTGCTCGGTTTGCTTTGTTCCCCGGGCACAGAGGTATTGTTAGACGGAAGGTCAGCCATCAGTCTAACTTTCCAAGTCTACCTGGAATATTAACTATAAGCTTGGTCATTTCGGAAGGCCAGTTTATGAGTGAACAGTCCATTCAATAAAGGTCTCATCAATATTAAGGTTTTTTCTTTAAAACAACTTAATGTATTGACTTCAGTAATAACACCTAAACTTTGTTAGATACGTGCTAGCCATCATACCTGTGTTATCTCTAACACTTCTAGCAATTATATAGGACAGATACTGTAGTTATGAAGTCCAGTGAAGCTAAGCCATTTGTCAAGAACACAATCAGGGCAGAGACTCAACCCAAGTCTATCTGCCCGACTCCCAAGTCTGGGCCAGTGTCACAGTGCGCTCTCTGGCCCTAACCCTCAGCCTAAGCGGTAGCCTTACCTAATCCTGTAAGTTGCAACAACCAAATATTGCATGCTACATATTTATACTACAAGTTTGCATTGTTTATCTGAAATTCAAATGTCTTGTATTTTTATCTGCTAAATCTGACCACTTCACATGTAAGGAACCTTAGGGGTTTCTTGAGTGTAGTGGTTCTGAGCCAGGGGTGCTTGGCAAAATGACCCAGAGGGCTTCTTCAGAACAGGTACAGCTTCTACCCCGCACTGCACGAGGATTCAGGGGTGGAGCCAGGCCTATGCATGTTCAAAATGTCTGATTCATTCATTACAAATATATATTTATTGAGTACCTACCCCGTGTCTACTGCTTTCATATACTTTGGAAACACAGCGAGAAAAACAAAATAAAGTTCTGCCTTTGGGTATCTTCCCTGGTGACTCCCCAGTTCATCCCTGTGAAGAAACAGTGGGTCAAGCACCCTTATTTCACAGATCGGGGGAAGAGAGGCCCAGAACGGTGCCACACTGGCTCAAGGTCACTGACAGAGGAGGGACTAGAGATCAAGTCTCCTAGTCCGTAGCCCAGTACTTTAAAAAAAAAAATACCTCTTTGCCAACCATAGGTCCTCAATTTTCCAGAACACTTCCCTTTTAGCATTCTATTATCTTTTTTAACAAATTTATTTATTTACATTTAGAGAGAGGGGAAAGAAAGGAGAGAAACATCATTGTGCAAAAGATGCATCGATCAGTTGCCTCTCGCATGCCCCCCCCCCCAACCAGGGACCTGGCTGGCACCCCAGGCATGTGCCCTGACCAGGAATCAAACCAGCGACCTTTCGGTTCCAAGGCCTGTGTTCAATTTACTGAGCCACACAAGCCAATGCAGCATTGTATTATCTTTAAATTTACAGTCTTTTGCAAATTTACAGTGGTTTGCAAAATACAGTGTCAGAAGCCATGCCATTCTTAGAATAATGCACTTAATACTGTTTGAGGCTCTCTGGTACCCATAACACCAAAGTTCGACATGTCCACAGAGAGCTATATTAGAATCCTGACCTCCAATGAGAGTGGCGGTCACTACTGGCATTCCATTCTTTACACAGCAAATGAGAAGCATTTCCCATGTGACCTGACTTCTGTGTTCTCCCAATAACCCTCTCTCCCGCACAGGAGACAGAGAAGATGTTACTGTAACTGCCCTTTGCAGCTGGAGTAACTGAGATCAGCTCACACAGCCAAGCTCAAACTACTCGTAAGTGGTGGAAACAGGGCTCAAGTCCAGGATTTCTCTTTCCAAGTTGGAATAAAATAATCTGAGGATGAATGAAAATTTTAGCCTGTCTCTTTTCTTCCTCCCCCTGCAGGAAAGGGCAGTGAAGGTGGAAGAAGCCTGCTGTGACCAGCCCGGCACTACACTACCGGGCCTGCTGCAAAGCCTCCCTCCCCAGCAGCTCTGCCCCCTCCTCTCAGGTTTCACATTCCTGCCACAGGGGACCGTGTGAGGGCATTCCACCGAGGGCAGAAAACACCTCCATCAAAATGCACACGAGTCACCCACAAACCGTCCGCAGGGTGCCCCCATATTTGTCGGGATTCACAGAGCAGATTAGCTAGTTAGCACTGTGTTCCTAGGAAGCCGGTGGGCACACTGGACTGTTTTGTGTACAGGATGAATATGGAATAATTACGCAAGGCCTTGGAAGGAACCTGGAAATGAGAGTTTGGGGAAATGGGGCTTGAGATCTGAAGGACAAAATGCTGACTTCTTGTCAAATTTTCGTGAGTCCCCAAGGCAGGCACTCCCTTCATCAGGAAGTCAAATACAAGCTACATGCACACTGAAATGCAAATTCCACACTAATTTAAAAAATAAAACTGCTACAACACAAAAAGAAACAACAACAAAAAAGGAAGAATTAAAAATTAAGTTGCCGAAGTCTGTACCCCAGCCCCTTGTGGGTACTGGGCTGCCTTCAGCAGTAAGGGGTCGCTGGGGGAGGGTTTGGAAGCCAGGCTCTAGCCCACCTCCATCATTGGAAGACTGGGCAGAATTGCCCAGGATAATCTGCCCAGGTTCCACCTCAGTACCTCCAATCCACACTCCCACCCCAGCACACGCATCCCCCAGTTTTCCACTTATCTACCTCTCCCTTCTGCTTAAGGCTCTCAGGTGTCCTGTTGATGACCTGTTCATTCTAACGAGGGCTTAGAACTCCAAACGAAGTTCTGTTGCCCCCCAGGATCCAAGTCAGTCTCAAAGACTGCGTCAGAACTCGACATACAGGGTCTAGCGCAAATAACACCCCTTTTTTATTACAAAATCTTTCATTAAAAAACCGTAAGCATGTAATTATGTAACATATCACCATATGACATTGTAGGTGAAATGTTCACATTAAAACTATAAATTATTATACCCACATTATTACTCTACCAACCACACTCAAGCCGGTGTTACTTTTGCTGGACCCTGTACTTATAAAACATACATATTTGAGGTATTTGTGAAAGCAGCCTTCTCAATGGTTCTTCTCTACAACCCTCCACCCCCAATCATCCTACATACACCACCAGCTGAATTTTTTTCAAAGACTTTATTTCTTTATGTCTAGAGAGACAGGAAGGGAGGGAGATGAGAGGAAGAGAAACGCCAGTGTGTGAGAGATGCAGTGATCGGTTGCCTCTTGCAGACCCCAGCTGGGGGCCTGGAGGGAAACCCAGGTATATGCCCCATGGGGAATCGAACTGGCCAGCGCCTACCAGCTGAATTTTCTAAAGGACCAAGATACTCCTACATGAAAATAAATTTCACTCCCCTACATAAGAATAAAAGCCTTCCACAGAACTGCTGTTAAAAATACCAACGTTTCTTCACCAGATAATCCCCATCCAACCACACAATTTAGCTAAGGCTCAGCTGAGACAATGTATGTCAAAATGTTGAAGAATATGGTATGTTACATTCATGTAGCATTTCAGAGCTTCCAAAGCATTGTGCATTTCTCGTGTGATTTCAAAGTATCAGAGAAAGCGTTTATTTTACTTTTATTATGTGTATATTTTGTTTCAATAAGTGGTTTCTTAAATTCTAGGTCTTTAACTTTTTTTGTCAGTTGACTGATATGAAATGTAAAGTTTCATATAAAATTATAATATTCAATACCAACCACTATGTCATTAAATAGTAATTAAAATGAAAAAGGCAGAGCCCTCCCCTAGTGCTCCATGACGAGAAGGCATAAAACAAGGCTTTTGCCATGAATCATCCTTATCTGCACTGTGTGTTGAGAAGCGCAGGACAAAGCCGTAAAAACCATGAGAGTTTATGACTCCTGGAAATTGGCTAGATTAAAAACTGTTTTATGTTATTGAAGAGACTATTGAATATGTTTGGGGCTTTTGCTTGTTTTCTATTTTTATAATGAACTAAAAGTTCAGAGAAAGGCAGTGCCTCTGAATAAAAGACCAGCGCAATGGGGATTAAAAGCTGCCGTGACGTTGGTGAGAATTTACAGGAAGGCCATTTACATGGCCCCTGCGGACGGTGGACCCGCGTCCAAGTCCTGCCCCGCTGTGCTAAGCTATAAGACCTTGGACAAGTTGCTTAGTCTCTCTAGACTTCAGTTTTCTCATCTGTAAAATGGGAATAATAACAGAAGTTACCCGTAGAGTGGTTGGTTGTAAAGATTATGTGACTTAATGTTTGCAAAATACTTAAATAAGGTCTGTTTCATATTAAACATCTTATGAGAGATAATGGCAATGATGATGATGATAACTGGAGGCAGAGAGACGAGATCGAATCCAGCAGTACACAGAGCGGAGGCTTTGTTCAGATGCTGCCATGTGTCCTGGGAAAGCAATTTTCCCAGCAGGGCTGAATTCTCATTTGTTAAACGGCTCTATGGCCGTGTGTAAAATAATTCTGTAATTACAACAGATCTGAACATGGGCCTTTGTCAACTCAGTTCACAAAGGTTTCAGCAAGGCATCAGACTCATTAGAGTCTGAAATTATTCCTGTAGCAGGAGATTGAAAGCCCCACGTCAAACTGGCTTAAGACACAAGGGAACTTCTTAGCCCCTGCAGCTGAAAAGTCCAAGGGAAGCACAGGCTTCAGGTCTGGTTTGATCAGAGTCTCCACTCTTGACTTCAGGACTCGTTTTCTCTACCTCCTGGATCCTCCTTCTGCAGTTACTGTTTCAGTCTCAGTTCTCCACGTGGCCCCTCGTGGCTCCAGGCTCTTTCCAACATCACTGCAGAGGCCCAGCCAGAAGGAATGCGGGAATCTTTCCCAGCTCCTCAGCTAAAGTCTCCTTGTTACCACAAATGGGTGTGAAACATCTTTTGGGGGTTGTGGCAATCTTCTAAAACCAGACTGTTGTGATAATTGCTCTGTAAATATACTAAAAAAAAATCATTGAATTGTATACTTGAAAAGGTAATTTTATGGTATATGCTCTGCCGCAATAAAGCCATTTAAAAACAGATTTTTCTTGTATCTCTTTGGCTCTGTAGGGTCACATGCCCATTGCTGAACCTGTCACTGGGTCAGACACAATGTGACGCTCAGGCCGGCCAGGCCCGAGTACCGTGTGCACACCCAGGAGACTTGGACAAAGTCAATTTTGTCCAAAGCACAGGCACCGAGGTGGGGACCCGTGGCAGGCTGGCTGGAGATGTGGGAGGAGTCCTGCATCACCTTTCCGTGTGCCCCTCAGCAAGCCATCGGCCCCATGCTCCCTGAGAACGAACCAGAAACAAATCCTCCACCTTTAGTTTTGGTCATTGTACACCCTTTATCTCACTTCTCACTGTGGCTTTCAAACTTGACTCCCAATGCTCGTGACTATGGGCCCCAAAGAGGGATGAGGTAATGCACTGGAGTGAGCTGTATAGCTCTAGTTTAACTGATTTTCCAGGGCACAGTGAGAGACAGGGCTTTAGGCTCTTCTCGCTTGACTGAAGAATGACGACATCGGACAAAAGTGGACGTATCCAGAGTGCTGAGAGTGGAGGCACTGTGCTGAGCGCTGTGTCCCTTGTTCTTTTCATCTTCACAACAACCTCAAAAGGAGGATAATCGTGTCCACCTTTCACAGGTGAGCACACTGCCTCCGAGATGCAAATGAAGGCAGTACCGCTAGTCTGAGGCAGAGCTGGGCTTGCAGGGGTTTCTGCCTTGTCTGTCTGTGAGGCGGAAGTTTTAACTACTGTCGGCTTCTAACAAGTCCGAATGTGGTTGGCAGGCCCCACTCACAGTCAAGGCCAGTGTCCTTGAAACCCTTGGCTTCCAATGGGAGGGAAGTGGCTTCTCTCAGCTCACCTGGGGCAGAAGCAGTAAGCAGCCACTGACCTGGTTCTGCAGACTGAAGGTGCAGCTCCCAGGGGTGCAAACTGACACCCTACCTGCTCCAGATGGGCACAGATGGATCTGTGGGGCTGGCACCATGTTGCTGCACAGCCGCTGTTGTTTTTAGTGAACTTGAGAGAACTTTCTCTGGCATCGCCCCTGATTTTGGCACTCCGCAGAGCATTTACCCAGTCACTTCGCACCTGTATGTCAGCTGTCTGCCACTCAAAAGCACTTGCCTTTCACCTCCCAAAGAGCTAACAAGTTTGAGAGCCTGCCCAGCCCCTTTCTCTGTGCTGTGGTCAGGAGACCTGCGTGGAAAATAGGAAAAATGCATTTTCTTATGCAACCAGTGGAGTATTTGCACGAGAAACTATAAACTTCAGTCTCATTAGGGATCAAGGAAGCCTGTAGGGGTAGGCCCGGAGACTTAACAGCACTGAGTACCATTTTTCCCCATTTCATCTGATCCTCATATCAGCCCTCTGGAGTGTACACTTATGCCCTGGCTGGTGCGGTTCCACTGGAGGGTCATCCCATAAACTGAAAAGTTGTGAGTTTGATTCCTAGTCAGGGCATATGTCTAGGTTGTTGGTTTGGTACCAGGTCGGACACTTAGGAGAGGCAAGCAATAGATGATTCTCTCATACATTGATGCTTTCTCTCCCTCCCTTCCTTCTCTCTAAAATCAATAGGCGTGTTCTCAGGTGAGGATAAATACAATAAAACAAAGCATACACTGCTGTGATTCCTATTTGACAGGGGAGAAAACTGAGGCCCCCCAGGCACCATAACTGGCTCATGGTTACAGAAATTGGATCCCAAGCCCTGGCTCTCAACCACTATTCACTGCCTGTGCCCTGCACAACAGGGTCACCAGGGGACAACTTCAGGGACACCAGTGTCTGATTCAAACCCAAGTCCAGCGGAGTCTCTAGGGGCTGGAGGGAAGGCATCTGTGGTGGCTGAATAGTTTTTAAATGCTACAGGTGACTGTAATGTAGTCAGAATGTGAAACTATCTGAAGAGCAAATGACTGCTCTTGTAGTGAATTGTATGAAATTTCATACAATTTTATTTGTATGAAAACATAGAAATTTACATGTCCAATGGGTGCTTCTGGGGGAGCTGAGGCACGCTGACATCATATGCCTGGCCAGCAGCGGCCCTGAGCTGTGGAGTGTGGGTTGGCTCACTCACAGGAAAGGCACAGTGACAGGAGGTGGCCTCGTGCAATCGCTGATGGTAGCCAGAAGACTTGGGTTTGAATCTGCGCCCCTCATTGATTATATGACTGGGGGGCACCTTATTTTACCCCCCTGAGCCTCTGTGTATTCACCACTAAAGAGGGAATAATCACGGGCCCCACCTTAAAGGTTGTTATGAGGAGGCGAGTGCAGGCGTGTGCGCCCTGAACTCAGCTCAGACTTTGGCACCTTGTGAGTAGTGAGTCACTGTCAGCCACGGATGACAACTGCTACGCCACTAAGTGCATGCTACAAACAAGCAGTTTCAAAGGCAAATTTAAATTCTGAGTATGGGTTCTGCTTCCTCACTTTGTGCTCATCAGTGAAAAAATAGAATTACCCTACTCACGTGAAAATGGAATTAATTTGCCATAGTGCAGGTAAACGTCCCAGAGGTGGCTGATCTGCAGCCTGTTGATGAGTCTGCAAACAGGATTAGGGTGGAGCAATCGACAGAAGGGGAGCTCTAAGGGCTCTGCCTGCAGGTGGTGGGGCCCCGCTAGAGGAACTGGGGAGCTGGGGTACTAGGAAAAGCTTCGGCTCCAGGTAAGAGGGAGGCTGGAGGCTGAGGAGCTGCAGGATGCAGGCTCAGAACAGAGTGAGTGATGGGAAGCCAGTTCCAGAGTCTGGGGAAAAGGTTGTGAGGTCTCTTACAAGGATCCAAGGACCTTTCTTCTCCCCACTACCTTCTGGCTTTTTTCTTCTTTTATCATTCTCACCATCTGACAAGTCTACTATCCATTTATCTCAATGTCGCTAATTCTTTTCAGCCCAAATTAAGCCTTGCCTATTCTGCAGGTCTCTGTGGACTAATCTAGATGTGAGTTAGCAGAGCTTCTTCTGCGTGAATTCAGGCCTTGATATGATTTTTGCCAAGCATTGTTAGTAGACTTTGTATGAGCATATCATGTTTAAAGATACTTTTGAGTTTCTAGAGGATGGAGATCACCTTTTATATTTCATACCCTGCCTCCTCCTACCACAAAGGTTAACACAAGTATTTGGGTCTTCAGAGATAAGAGTACATTATATCCATGTACATCACAGAACCCAGAAGTCAAAGAAGGCTTAAGGGTATTTTAGTACAGAAGTGGCAAAATGTTCTCTTGGTCCACAGGCCAAATCCTGCAGAGATGGGGTTGTTTTATTTTATTTTATTTTTTTGGCCAGGCCAGTCCTTGATTTTTTAAATATTAAGTCTGGGTGCCTATAGGTGGGACGTGCCTGTTCAGTCCTTTGCAGTTTAATTTACTTCCTAATGCCTTAATATTTTATACAATTTATCTGCCTGTCCCCTAAAGGCATTTGAGCCTGTGAGCCAAAATGTAAGTCCAGCTGCCCAAGCTCTTGGGTCTTCCCCACAACATCTCCAATACTCGCCCTCTTGCCTATGCTTCCAGAGGCAGCTTATGAAGAATGGAGAGCAGACGAAAAAATAAAATGGAGTCACTGTAGTCAAGCTGCTAAATTACTAAACTTGAGTTGCTGAGGCATGAGGAAATCATTCTATTTTGTCTTTAACTAGCTTGGGAACTTAAGCTTTTTAACTCCCCAGTTATCCATTCTACAGAAAACCCTCTGCTCACTCCCCGAAGGCATCTTAGGAAAGAATGGTCATGTGTCCAGGTCACCTGACAACCATTATCCAAGACCCTGCACACCCGGGAGACTATGGATTATCTCAGACCAATCCAGAGGCGAAGCATGCTTCTTCTCAAGAATGTACAAGACCTCTTCGCTTTTCTTTCTGCTTTGGAACACTCTGGGTACATCGCTTGGCTGTGTTCGTGGTTTGCAGACCCTGAGACCCCTTCATAAATCTCTGCTCTTTATTTGTAGTGGAAGCCTCCTGACCTGTGGTGTCAGTGCTGGGAAGTTGGTTCCCTTGGTGGAAAGCTTTGACTAAAAGAATTCTTCCTGAATGAAGATCATAACTTAAAGCCACCAGCTGAAATTAACCTACTATAGGTTAACTACTTTAAATCCTTTTGGTAGCTCATTGGTGATTGCTGAATACCGTTTCCACTCCCAGGCATTCCAGCACAAGATTCATACAGGCTTTTAGGAACATTTTCTAACCTGTTCTTCAGGAAGAAGACAGGGAACTGAGAACCACATTTGACTTTGCAACTGTGGTCATCCGGAAATGACCTTGGCAAATACTTGTCTTCACTCTTGTGGAATCCTGGCTGCATGTGTCTGTCTAACCTTTCGTACTTACGACTGAACTTTGTCAGGCATCTTGGAATCTGATGTCTGTCGAGCTCATCTGATTCTGGGTAAGTTGAGAGTCCCAGGCTGTACCAGCACCGCAGAAGGATGTGATCTGAGGATAGGATCGATCTAACTAGATCTTATCTCATAACGCCCCATTAAACCTAGACATTTTCACAGTTTTATGCTGTACAGAAGTCAGCTTGTGCCTGAATGCACAGGAATGCAAGCCCAGCAATTATTTACCAGCTGGAATGTGTTTTTTGTGTTCCTCTCTGTCTTGAGGGAACTCTTTCAAAGCTTTTGGTTCTAGTTTTGACGGAGTGGATTGTAGACCTGTTATAACCTGATGAGAAAAAAGTGCTGTATTTTTCTGTTTTCAGGAAAAATAATCTGTATGTGAAGAGCCATCTGGAGAACTGGGTACATCATAAATCACTGTTAACACCAACCGTACTTACTGGGAGCCCAGTTATTTTCTTGCAAGTAGAGACAGGAGGATACAGTATCGGCTTCTGAAAACAATGTCATCATGAGCTTCTTGTGGGCGAGCCAGAGGTCAGGAAGATCCCAGGCTGCTAGCGTGAGAAGAAAACTGCCACAGTGGGAAGAGGGAAAAACTATTAGGATTCTTCTTTTCTCCTTCATCTGCAGCCCCCCCCCCCCGAAATCTAATGTTTTTATCCTATGCAGCTTTTCTTATATTCTTTCAGAAGTATTTGCGGTGACCCATTGATCTTCATTAAGATGCACATTTTCAAGTCACTGTCACCAAACCACCTCAAGGGAGCCATCTAACCCCCTTGGCCTCTCCTTACCTGCTGTGCAGCACGGCTACTGGGAAGGTGCCCAATGCAGCTGGCCTCCTGGCACAGTGGCAACCAATACACAGAGGTTCCCTTCTCTCGTCAGTAAAAAATCCCAAAGAAGAGGAAGTCTGCATGTAAATCATTGAAACAGCATCTTTTCAAACAGCGGAAGAATCAGATACAACCTAAATGTAAAACAATAAGCTGTTTCAATCCGTTTGCGTTGCAGAATCACCCCTGTTTATTAACATGCCACCCTCCCCTCCTCCCCATTAAGAAACTGGAAAATCAACTCAGAAAGAGCCTCCATATCCCTTTTTTTCATCACAGTGATTGATCCACGACGGACACATGACCCAGGTCAAAGGCCTTCCTTGACATTTCTCTGTTGGAAAGACTTTGCCCTCCCTTCTTGGTGGAGGGTTGTATAACTGACCCCACAGTTGCAGGTGGCATGGCCCCCATCGTGCGGAGAAGCCCAGAAGGAGAATGAGTAGTAAGAACTCCGGTGACACAAGCCTCTGGCTCCCAGCACTTAGGAGTCCAGGGCCGCCTGGTTCTTGTAGTTCCGTCAGCAATTCCAGTGTTTGCCTCTTGTCCTGAGGTAGTTGGAGTTGGCTTTATGCTGCTTGCAGCTGCAAGGGTTTAGACTGACAGTTTATGCCGCCAGTAATGTTGATGATTAGGAAGACCACAGAGCAGCATGACAAAAGCGATCGTGATGAATTTTACAAAGAGTACCATATAAAATTACATGGAGATGTGTTGCAGCTATTTAAAATAATCAGGCATAGGTAAAACAAGCAGACAAGAAATACCCGAAAGATGCAGTGGATAGGATAGTAGAGTCACAGGTGATTTGTTCCTTTCATGTAACAGGGTAAAAACTTATCAAACTACGTGTGGTGTACGAAGTAAATGTGGCTGATTTGTTTCCTGCAGATGCCTCCAATCCTCCTTGGCTTTCGCTGCACTGACCAATATTAACCAGATCTTAGTCTCTGTCATTAGGAAATTTTTGGTTTCAAGAGTTGTTTCGGTTTCTTGTTTTAAGGTAACTGGCTACTCCTCCCTTTTTTGTAAGATGATCCCTTGGTGTATTTTGGTGACAGGTGTGTGACCTTGTGGTAACAGGAGAGAGTGAGCTTTGGGTTTGCACATCTGTGATCAGGGTTGGTGTCAGAGACTGAATGTTTGTGTCCCCATCACTCTCATGCTGAAACCCCGATGTCCAACATGATGGCATTGAGAAATGGGGCCTTTGGGAGGTAGTTAGGGTTAGGTGTGGTCACAAGGGTGGGCTAATCCCACTAATCATGGAATTAATGGCCTTGTAAGAGGAGAGATCTTACTCCTTTTCTGTAGGAACACACTGAGGAAAGGCCATTTGAGCACGCGGTAAGAAGTCGGCCATCTAGGAGCCAGAGAGAGACATCTCCCTGGGAGCTGAGTCATCCAGGACCTTGGTCGTACACTCCCCGGGCTCCAGATTGGTCAGATAACGAGCCTATGCATTTGTTATGGCAGCTCTGGCTGACTAAGGCAGTGCCGATGTTTTTAGTAATGTCTCTGGGTACCTGGCTCCCTGACTTGTTGATGTCTGTGCTTAAGGAAACTGGCTTTTTCTGGTTCAACCAGGGCTTCAGGGTCTTTCCTTGTGACTTGCTCCCTGCTGCCACTGTGGCGGCCCTGCAGACCCGTCTGAGTCCAAGCCACGTCCCTCATTTTGGTAACCGGCGATGGCCGGCCCATCCTTTGCCATGGGAAAGCTATTTTTTTTGCCATATAACAAAACTAAGTTGGGGGCAATAAAACTTTAGAAAACAGATTTGTATTTTTTGCTTTTGCTCAATTTGGCTTAGAAGTCAGACATTAATTCCAATGCTGCAAGTTAAAAGAAAACACAAAAAGAAAAACATCCATTAAAGAAATTGGTACTTAAGGCACTCCTTAGAAAATAGTAAGCTTGCAGGAAAAACAGGTAATGGTTATTGTTTATAATATCGCTGTTCATCCAGGAAGATGAGCACATAAGTATGCACAGATGGTACATTTGCTATTTCCACAGCCGAGCAAGAAAGAAGGTGCTCTGGGAGACAGGGGACCCCGGGCGAGCTGGAAGCATGGGGTCGGCCTTTCCTTCTATTGGCTGGGAATTGGAGAGGCCTGGATCATTGCTCAGCCTTGGCCAGCTCTGTGGGGAGGCCATGTAAGTGCCTCTCCATGGTTTAGTTTCCTTACCCATGAAAAAGGGGGGGGGTTGGACATCGTCAGATTGCTGAAGTCTCTTCTGTTTGGAGTCCTGGGGAAATGGTACCCTCAGAGATGGGCAATGCAGCTCCAGAGAGCTGCACTGTCACCTGGACACTGATGTCTCTCTGCCTTTTGTCCTCTCTGACCTCTCCCATGTCAACCCCAATTCAGAGGAAGAAGGAGAAGAAACTTGGGGACAGAGAGAACCGGGGAAACAGGCAGCAAGAGGCAGCAACAAAGCGGCGGGTGACGGAGAGTGGAGAGAAGGCAGGAATCACACACACACACACACACACACACACACACACACACACACACACACACACACACTTTTAGAGAAAGGACGAGGGGAGAAGTAGGGGGCAGCCAAAGAGTGAGTGTATGTGTTCCTTAGTTCATCAAACAAAACAACAGCTGACATTTCTTAGGTCCCTGTCTGAGGCCTGGCACCGTGCTGAACGTGTCCGTGTTATCTCACCCTCACACATCTCATCTAAGCAGGAGGCGGAGGCTTATAAAACCTGCCAATTGGCCCAACATCGCTGTTTCCCTCTATCTGTTTGGGATGCTAAGACAGAGCACTGTAGACCAGGCAGCTCATGAACCACAGAAGTTTACTTCCCACGGTTGGAGGCTGGACGTCTGAGATCAAGGCACTGGTAGATTCAGTGTCTGGTGAGAACCCTCTTCCAGGCTGAAGCTGGCTGGCCCCCTTCCCTCTGTGTCTTCACATGATGCAAAGAGAGTGAGAACACTCTCTGGGGTCCCTTTCACAAGGACACTAATCCCGTTCAGGAGGGCTCTGCACTCCTGTACTGATGAATTTCCAAAGGCTCCACCTCTTAGTACAATCGCATTGGGGGCTAGGGTTTCAACATAAGAATTTGGGGGGTGGGACCCCAAACATTTAGTTCATTGCAATCCCTAATTTGTAAAAGGGAGGCCTGAGAATAAAACAACAGTGTACCTTGGATTCCGGAACTGCACTCATCGTCCACATTGCTGTCTTGCCTAGCATCTCCTCTGTGCTGTGGAATGTCACTGTTTTGCTTGAGGCTGACTTAGCATTTAACCTTGAGCTCATGGCTGACCTAGCGTGATGAGTTCATGACCTGCAGGCAGACAGAAAGGCACCTACTTACACACCCACTCACCCGTTGATGACACTCAAGAGGGCTCCGCAGATAAAATTCTAATATAAATAGAAAGTCTTTTTTTGTTGGATGCCATCACATAGGGCCAGCTGTTTTGGCTTCTTAATTAACTGTGGCTTAGTCTAACGCTGAAAACAACACTTGTTCTTTCTGAGGGCAAGATCATTGGCGGGACACATTCCTGGGTGACCATGGACGCCTGAGGTTTGTTGGGGGATAACGCACATATGAGTAAGCAGTGTCTACCCCTAGCTAACCACATCAAATTTTCTTCACATCCTCCCTATCAGAACGCCAGAGTAAGCCCCACTGTAGGGCACTTCCATTGCCCCCCACCCCCATCACAGGAGGTGCAGTACAGAATGATAGAGCTGAGCTGTGATGGTGCCCCATTGGGGGCCTTTCACATGGTGATCGCTGTCCTGTCTGACATTTCAGCCCATCGCAATTTGTGAGGAAACTAGAAAAAGGCTGCATTAGACCCTCACCCAACAGTCTCCAGAGTCCATGCCCCTTCTCTGGACCTTTCTTTGTTTCATTATAGGTATACTAGAGAGGTTATGGAATCTGTCAGCCCCAGGTTCAAATTCTGCCTCTGCCACTCACGGCCTGTGGAGCAGTGGGCCAGGCCCTCGCCCAGAGAGCTTCCTGTACATGGAAGTCACAGCGCAGGCAGTTGTGCAGACCAGCTGAGCCAGCACAGGCCGAGCACCAGCGCGCGCCCAGGAGCACAGCAGGTGTTCAGGCACTGGATTCTTCCCTCCTGTTTCAGTCACCTGTTGTGTACACAAACCGCCCCGAGTTAAGTGGCCCTGCGGACTATGCCCATTTGCCGTGCTTTAGTGAGCTCTACTGGAATAACAACCAGGTATTTGCTCGTGGTTCTGCAGCCTGGGTTGGCCTCACCTAGAGCCATTCCTGCACTCATGCATCTATCTCATCAGCAGGCTTAGTTGGAGCTGGAAGTCCAGGGGGGCTTTACTCCCAGGTCAAGCATCCAGGTGGGGATGGCTGGAAGTGTAGAACCTGGCCAGGATCTCTCTTCCCATGAGGTCACTCCATCAGCGTGGCCAGCTGGGCCGGCTTCAAAGGAGGGCACCAAGTGCACTCACACAGGCCCTACACCCAGAAGAGCCCCTGGTTGTATTGATGCTCTGTGGCCACTGCCTTGAGATGTTTTTAAACAAGGGGCCCTGCTTTCTCATTTTACACTGGGTTCTGAAAATTACCCATATTTTGCTGTGTATAAGATGCACGTTTAGCCCAAATTTTTTAGGAAAAAATAAGAGTGTGCATTATACATGGGTAGTACTAATTCTGTATCTATATAAATGTTTGTAATTCTTTGATTTATGCTTATGTGTTCAAAGTAACTGTAGAAAGCAATAATGATATCTATATGCAAAATAATACCCTGGAATATGATAAATGGTTTTGTTTCTAAATAGAAATACATAAATAAATAATTGACTTTAAAAATTAAAACAAAAAGAATTTTTTTTCCTGAAAGTTTGGGCTAAAAATATGGCCACACATTATACATGGCAGAATACAGCACATCTTTCCACGATGGCTCAGAGCTCCCCAAGGGTGAAAAAAGAAGTTGGCAAGCTTCTTAAGACCTAGGAAAGAACTTTCACAGTATCACTTCACCACATTCTGTGGGCCAAAGCAAAGCTCGCAAGGCTGTACAGATTCAAGGGAGGGACAGAGAGTCTTGGTGACCACCCACCTCACCTCCGTTTCCTGGGGTCAGCATTCCCGTGAGCGTTGGGTCCCGATGGTGCTCCTTTGGTACAAAGAAGCAGAAACCCACCCAAGCTACCTTGTAAAAAGAAGGATCTATGGTAGATCCCCACAGAACTGAGGGCAACCCCAGCCCAAGGAAGTGCAAATTAGCATTAGAAACGCAGGGCTGGAGGCTGTGCCTCGCATCCCAGAGATCACAGTGATTTCCTTGGTAAGTCAGCCATGGTCTGGGGGAGTGGCAGGAGCCTGGTCACTCAGAAGAGACAGTTGTACCTTCCTGAGACTGTGGATAAAGTGTGCCACACAATCTAACAGACATGCTTGTCTTTGTTTACCAGCTATTTATGAAGTGCCAACAATTACGTTCAAGAGCATGTCTAAGTGATATCACTTGGCTCCAGAGGAGAAGGGCCCCTTCTTTTCAGTCACACAAGGGTATTTCTTGCTCTCTCTGATTGAAGCAAAGGCAGGAGCATATGGATGTTGGGTTTCCTTTTTGTGTTTCTTAGCTCAGTGAGTCAGCCCTGGCCCTTGCTGGCTGGCTCCCAAGCCCTCACATAGCAACACTCACCTCCAATGGTGGGTTAAGAGAGTGCATTCTGTTACTAAAGAATGATAATGAACCTCATAGAAAAGCTGAGTGAAGAAGGACCAGAAACTGACTTTTCCTTACTTGATTCTGTGATCCTGTCCCACTCCAGGGAAGATGGCGCAGTTGGGTTCTAAGAAGGAGGGATTCTTCTATGATTAACCCCATCTCTTGACCTTGCTCCTCAGTGTGCCCCACTCCTCTCTCCTGTCCTACCCTTGCAGTTCCTTCTTTCACACCCTCAGTCCTGTGTCCTTACTCTTTCTTGGGAAAGCCCATCTCTTTGCCCCCGTATTTAGTGCCCTCCTCAATCCTTTCATGGTGCCTCCTACTTACTCCAACATTTACAGCTTCCACTGGCACTGTGGTTTTTCCTGCATCCAACTTTGTCAGCTCCGAGAGATTCAGTCTAGTAGGTGAAGATGCTGGTGGGTGATCAGATCGCAGTGCAGGTTCCCACCAGTGAGAGCTGTGGCAGGTTTTTTCCATCCATTACTGAGGAAATAAGCAACTTCAAGCGAGGGTTACTATTTTCCAGTGGCAACACAGTCTCATGATATTTGAAGAAAGGGTATTTCCTCTGTTAATATGACTTTGACCCACTCCTTGCACAACAACAACCTTGGCATTATTTAGTTAAAGGAGAATGAAAATTTTCCATTGTCTAGTTTCCATGACAAGAATCACCACATGAATTACAAACAGGTCCATCTTAACTACAGGGATGGCTGGTGTCCACTTGGACAAGAACTTCCTGATCTTCCATCTCTTCACTGTTAAAAAACAGGGACAGCTCCTGGCCTCAAGGAACTTCCGATCGAGTGGAGAGGGCAGTTTTACACCCCAGTGAAACTAGAGAATAACGGGCCAAGAGGGGTGTGAGGGAAAGAGAAGCCATTTTCAAGTAAGTGTGGAGTGGGCAATTAGCCCGTGACTAGGTTCCAAGTTGGAGCGCGGGTGCAATGGAAGGTGATGAGCCTTTCAAGGCTCATAGCCTTGCACACCTATGTAGGGGAGCTCCCTTAGGGCACAGACTGGCTCCTATCTCATCTTTGCAGGAAAGACATCCTGCTTACACACTCAACTGTGAGGGCTTGCCATGAGAGCCAGTGTTCAGAAGGGTGGAACCTAAGCCTAGACAAGGTGGAGGTTGCTCTCAGGGGAGACTTCACTAGACCCACCCCCAGACCCTGCTCTCCCCACATACATACACACTGGACTGGGGATCAAACCCACAACCAGGTACATGCCATGATGGAGTATCGAACCCACGACCTTTTGGTGGAGGAAGGTCCAGAAGATGACGCTGCAGCCAACTGAGCCACCTGGCCAGGGCTCTTCTCCCCTTTTCATTCCAAGTACCCATTTAGCCGCAACTACCCAGGTTCCTTCCGTTGGAGCCGCCCAGGAAGGAGATTTTAGGTCCATGCCCGTTCGCCACGATGTTACTTTACCCGATTCCCACTTGGACTCTTTCTTAGGCAGCTTTGCAATTCCTGAGGGAAAAGACCCCGAGCCGCCCTGGAATCTGCAAACGGTGCTGCATTCCCTTTCCCAACTTCCAGCCACTGGTACTGCGCAGGTCGATTTCCGCATCCTTCGCCAAAACCACTCCATGGCGCATGCGCATTAAACCCCCAGGGCCGGGGGTGGCTGGGTGCCAGAGTGGGGGCACTTGATTTTGTAAACTCCATCTAAACTGCTGCACTTGTTGGAGCACCCTTCGCTCATTTCTCCATGGATCAGGGCCAATGAATCTCTTAATCAGTGGTTGTTACTCTGCACAATCCTTTTCAGAAACTTTTTGCTTAATGTGAACCTGGAGACATTCATGTTCTGGCCAAAAAGTTGGAGCCTGTGGAGTGGAGAATGGGAGGATGCAGAAAAACTCTGGGCTTCCAAATAAGCAATGTCAGCTTAATTGTTGCAAATCTGTCTCGGCTGCTAAGTTCTCTCTTTCTTCCTTAGTGCTATCTGGGAAACTTGCTGCTCAGTTTCCAGTGGAAGTCGCTATGCTTCGATACCCTCAGGGAGCACTTACAGGCTGGGGACACACAGGTGGGCTGTCGCAACCCGTGCATTTACCTCCCCAGAAGCATGTACTGGAAACCTGTTGCACAGGAGCAGGGAAGCAGCAGAGGGTGGGGTTTCCAGGCGCCCCTGTGTTCCCTCTCCTTCCACTGATAGCCTTTCTTCTTTCTGCCCTGAGGGCTCTTGCTATCGGCCTTGGCCGGACAGGGCACACTGCGGCTGCAAGTTGAAAGGACCAGGCCTTTATTTTCTGGCACATCTGGCCTCTGTCCTGCCTGCACCTTTAGCCTGCTTTTGATTGATGTTGCCAGCAGCAGATACAGCTGTGTGGGGCCTGGCTGACTTTCTGGAGGTGTTGATTGCAAACAGTGCTACCTTACATTTGGGACAGCGCTTTCAAGTTTCCAAAATACTTTCATATGCATCAATCATGTCACTGGATTTCCTCAGCAGGTTGGAAGACAGAGCAACTTTTATCCCTATTTCACAGTGAAAAAACCTGAAGCTCGGAGAGGTATGGGAGATTGGCCAGAGTTGTAACACCACAAAGTGGCAGAATAAGAAACCAGGACTCTGAG